TTAAGCATAAAACTTAATTGACAAATGAAAAAAGGATTCTTTTTGTAAGGGCTTTTGAAAAATTAGTTAAAAATGATAAAATTATATTAGGGATGCACAATATTATCGGAACGTTATCAGAATCGGCCGATAATGGCTTAAAATGCAAACATGACGCATCTGTTGTGCGATAGTGGCAACAGTGACTAGCACCTGCAGTAGCAACAACAACTGCAGCTTCCCCGGGACCTAATGACCATCCATCTCCGCCTTTTATTTATTCAGGGGGCGCTGTTGGCCTACTTGTAATAAAATGAAAGTAAAATACACAAAATCAGAGTATGTTTTGATATTTAAAGGTCAGAAGCTATTGCTTACATGAATAAAAATCACAAAGATGACACTTGTAAATTAAATAATTTTATATGTGTACAGATTTATCTATTAATGTGTAATACATATACATTTTTTTCAAACAGATTATGAAAACCTAAATACAAGGAGCTCAGATTTTCAGAATTTTGACAACTCTTGCTTTAGACCATCAGCAAATGTTAAATCTACAATTAAAATGTTAAGGTTCCCACTGCATCTGTCTGGAATTTGTTTTTGATGATTTATAGCTATTTTCAAAGCTTTCAATGTACTCTCATTATCAAAGAACTTCATTATTGTTTATTGTTATTATTGTTTAATAATTTTTTTTTGTTAAAAACTAAACAAAATTATAAATAATTTGTTTATAATCTCTGCACAGGAGAGACTTGGTGTTTCCAAAGAAAAGGAAATATATTAGCATCGGCAATCGGCCAAAATGAGTTGAAAAATTGGCAAATATCCAATGGAATATCTGCAAAAATCCAATATCGTACAGTGAAACAAATTATTAAATCAAAAATGTTTTTGTTTAATTACTGTTATGCTTAGCGTGATCCCAGACTATTACATATTATATTACTAAAAAGATCAATTAAAACAGCTGTTTTTTTTTTCTGTTATCCTCAAAACAACTTTTGCAAGAACAAGTCATTTAAAGACGATTAGGCTAGATAAAGGGATAACAAAATGTTTTCAACGATGCTTTGTAGGCTGTTTATTTCATGTCACATTCACTTCAAATCTAATTTCTCAAACATATCAATATATTGATCTTTTACTCCAATATATTGATTCATAACACCAAAATGATATGATGAGAGCTGTAACAAAGAACGGAGAAAGAACAAGAACAAAAGAGAAAAGGGTTTAAGATGATCCCATACGGCAACATGAATTCCCCATGACCTGGCGCAATACTGAAAGGCAAATTACACATTTCTTAATGATACAAAATGAAAACAAAGCTAAAATGAATATGTTGTTTTCAGAAGTGACAGGAAGCAAATCTAGAGGGATAAATCAGTGCCTGTGGAATACACTGACAGTCTTTGGTGGGTGGTTTACCATAGTGTTTGCTATAGAACATTCTTAATAGGCACAGAACGCCCTCTCAGAATGATCGCCCATCAACACACAGACACTCCTGGAGGATCCAGATAAATACATCTGTGAACCCTCTCACTGAATGCACTCATTGTCCGCAAGCAGCAATAATGTGTCATGTATGAAGGCAATGGTAAGTGAAAGGAGGTCCTCCCACACGGCCTCCATCAATAGAGCTTACAAAAATAAAAAATAAATAAATAAAGTCAGTTCCCAGTCGTTTACTTGTACATCTTCTGATGAAAGCTAGTGAATGTTGATGTACAGTCCCGCAGTTTGTGCATACAGTCAGAGAGACATGGCTTGCCCCACTGGCATTTCACGAGTGTCATCTCCAGGGCACATGCTGTTTTTCAACCTGGGGCACCTAAGCAGTTCACAAGTCTCTGTTAAGTCTTAAGGGAGATGCTTTTCCACAAATGAACCCATGGAGATGCTTGAAGGCCACTAGGGTGATGTCTACACAAAAACAGCCACTGGCTGTCTAGAATGTTCACTAATAAAGCTGTTTTGAGCAACATACATGGTGTTTGGCGCTTGTTCCAAATTAAAAACAAACCAATGAAATGCTAGAAATGATTTTATCCCATTTTTTTAGGCAGAACAGAAAATTCTGATGATAATACTGGGCAAAACAGATTGAATACATTAATCCCACTGATTAATAATCTTTTATTTAGCTAAACAAATAATAAATTGTAAATTTTTCAAATCTCTTTCTGTATCCATAATTTATTAAATGTTAAGAATTTAAAAATATTAAAAATATAATTCTGATTATGACATAAGGATCAATACAAAATTGCTTTGACTTTTTTTTTTTTTTTAAGTGTAGAAACAACAAAGTGGCGTAGCAACTGTTAAACAGTAAGATGCCAAAGAGCAAAGACATTTTCTCCAAACAACATCTACAGTGGCAGAGTGGTGTATAGGTCACTGCTGTATTTAAGCCATTTCTACTCTATCCTGGGGCATCTGCTGGAAGAGACAGGAAGGAGAGAAGAAGCAAAGAGCAGCATACCTGAGTCTGGATGCGGTTGAGTCCTCTGAACCATAGGATCTGTCCTCTGCGCATCTCCATCTCAGCATGGTCAATTTCATCCGCACCTTCAGTTAGTACCTCCTCGGGGATGTCCTCTTTGGGGATGCCATGACCAGCCTCCTTCAAGAATTTGAGGCGGTGTGTGGGGACAGCAGAGATGAACTGGAGGATGAGAAAAAAAGTGGAATAGGGTCAAGTGATGGCAACTGTAACTCATCAAATAGTCATTAGCACAGCGGTTGAGATTATGAACGGCTTTCTGAGAACAAGATGCTGAGAATGTGGTGCATAAATGCAGAGTTTTAATGAAACCTTATGGCATTTGACCGCAAGATCTTTTTATGTTTAAAAGCAATAAGGCCTTTTAGCGGCTGAAAATTTTTCAGTACAAACTACACAGAACAAGCTTGTTTTATTAACTGAAAAAATGTTCCCCAATTTTGTGATTAAACCATTCACCAATACATTCATATATACTACTACTTGAGGTTAATAAACTGATCAAGTGACAGAAAATATTTTTTACATAAAAGATGTTACAAAAGATGTGTATTTCAAATAAATGCTGTTCTTTTTCAACTTTCTTTTCATCACAGAATCCTGAAACTAAAATGTATCACTGTTTCCACAAAAATGTTACGCAGCAAAACCTTTGAAAATAAGAAAATAAGAAATGTTTCTTGAGCACCAAAGCAGCATATTCTGAAGGATCATGTGACACCGAAGACTGAAGTAATGATGCTAAAAATTCAGCTTTGCCATCAAAGGAATAATTGATATTTTAAAAAATATTAAAAAAAGAAAATAGTTATTTTAAATTGTAATAATATTTTACAATTTTACTGTTTTTTGTATTTTTGATCAAATAATCAGCCTTGGTGAGCAGTACCTGTGTATATGTGGGCAGTAAATTCATTTCAAGTAAATCATATCTTTAGGATAATTCATTTGAATTAATTTAAATCACTGCATGTCATTTTATTTTTGTTTGATACTGAAATATTTAGTTAAATGCTGCTGTTAGTTAATTGTCTTAATTCCATTCTATAAACAAGAGTGTTTTATTAAACATATTTAAATTTATCATTTATCTCTTCAAGTTTAATTCGGTCACTGATTGAAATCCTTTTTTTTTGTGCCAGATGAATAACTGCTCTGATTGAAAATAAATTATGCAGTTTTATATTTCAGAAGACACCCATTTAATGTCATACATTTAATTTAAGCCACCCATGGCTTAAATGCAGATAGGTACTATTTATTAGTAACTTTTCTGGTAGCTAAACAATAATAATAATTTAACCTCTTTAAATAAGTAATTTAACCTCTTCAAATTGTAAAGTTACAGTTTCAAAGGAGCTTCCCAACACAGATACACATGCACATACACAAACACATGAAAGTCTCTATCACCTATAGTAGCTAAAAAATCTGTGCAATCCCCCCTGTAGGTGCCTCTGTTGATGCTGTTTGATATGAGAGATCACAGAGACAACTTAATACATAGTGGATAGAATGCACGCTGCTTCTCCTCCATGTCTAAGTTCTCAGCATCTGGTTTGTGAGGCTGCACGTGTGTATACGCACAAAAAAAAGCTTGCATGCACAAACACCAGCTGAGAAACCCAGTAGGAAATGGCTTATGTGTGATGCAACTGCCAGAAGGAGCAGACAGCTTGCAGCTCTAAAGGCTTTATCTGTACTTGATAACTTCCCCGGCCTTTTGATAACCTAACATGATACATCAGTCCTGCATATGGAGTTTTAAGTGTACCGTAAGCATGGATGTATGGAGGCAGAAGACCTTTCTTGTGCTGCCAGGTTGATGATAAAGCTCACAGCTCTCCGTCCTCTTTCTGAGCAGAACTTTGAGATGGTGGCAACCGCTCTGGAATTGTGCAGGAAGTAGCCATCTGCCAGGCTCCCTCGTTCCCTCCCACGGGTTTGAAATCGCACACAGCTTCACCTCCCCCTCCCCTGCCCTCCCAGTGGGATTGAAGAGAGAACTAAAGATGTTCCACATCACCTACGCATGTGCATTCTGCCGTGATGTTTTCATTATTTCACCGAGAAGCTTGTGAATCTCTCTTTCTCATCTGTAAATGTGCTCATGTAACTAACTAGTTGCTTTGCAGTTTTTTTTTTCCACTGAGGTACTGATTAGTGATGAACAACAACATTCTGTAAGGATTTGCCTTACCTGGCCCCAAAGCAGCTCACCAACTCCTATGAAGACACACCAGAGCCACTGATCGATGGTGAGGGCCGTGCAAGAGAACGGCTTCCCTCCAAACTGCACTATGATTATCTGTAACAAGGTGTATTCCATTAGTCCAGCAATAAGCCACGAGAGACTGAGTTACAGCAATTTCAACATGGTTAAGAGATGTTATTTGGATTAATTTAAACCTCTGTAGTTGTGGTGAAAATAGCTGTAATGTACAACCTCGGTTGTATTATTTTTTATAATACAGTGGTAACAGCTAGTTTTACTAGTTTTAAACACATCAGTGGCTGGTTGCATAAACTGCTCAGACTAGTCGTACAAGTTAGTAGTTTCAATGTTTCTTTAAGATTGGTCTTTTTTTTTTTTTTTTTTTAATAAAATAAAAATGGATCGGGCTAATTTGAATTAAAAAAGTAAGACTGATTGAACCCTTACTAATTGCTAGTCAGACTAGTCCAGTGTTTTTGCAACTGGCTGCAGATGTGTGCATAATATAATGCATCAAATGTCTGTATCGTGAGGGTGACAATCAGCAGGTTAAGCAGTTTACCTGACCATTTGTTGGGGACCTCTTTTTTTTTTTTTAGTTTCATCACCGATTTGTACCCTATTTGTGGAAAGAGTTTAACTGTAGCTAAGCAGCAACTCAGCACATTAATACACAATTCAGTCAACATGGAGCTTTTTCTTTCTACAACAGCTTTTGAACAAGCCAAAAACTATCCCATTTTATAAAGATTATATAGTCATATACTTAAAGACATTGTGAGAGATGCTTTTATTTTATGTAATGCACATTTTTACCTTTAATTTAATTTAATTTATACCTGCAGAGCAAAGGTTCCCAGAACAACGCAGCAGAAAATGGGGTTCCTGTAAATTCCCTCAAACACGTTCCTCTCTCCGTGGATTTTGCGGGCATTGATCTCATTGAAAAGCTGCATCATGACGAAGACGTTGAAGATTATGGTGTAGTGTTCGGATGGTGGGGAGTGCAGAGGGGAGTTGCGGCCGCTATCAATGTTAAAGATTTTTTCACCTTTGGGCATAGAAAAACGTTTTCCATAAATAAGTGAATTGAAAGATCAAGATCTGTTTAAAAAAAGTCATAGTGTTGTATGTCAGGAGGATGATCTCAATAAATACATGCTACTGTTGATTAAAAAAAATTACAGTCAAGTGTAATGTCCACTGAGACAGAGTATGTATTCAAACTTCGAAGAATGGGGTCTTCTGTGGAGCTGTTCCTTAACCCACGGGCACTGTAATCTTGTGATAAACTTGTCTAATCAGTTGGCAGCAGTACAACATGGGAACATTTACAGTGAACTCTCCTGAAGCACTGTGACATGCTTTAGGGCTTTAGGTAGTCTGTGATGTGATCTATTGCACTGTAGGGAGCAAAGACTGATTTAAAACCAGGATTTACAGATATGCTGCCTATTACTAGCAAGTTTTCACTGTGAAATTCTGAACTGGGATCGAGACTTTTAACTTAACACCTTTAACATGCAAGCCTAACGTGGAAAAAATACTCAACAACAAAAATACTATATACAGTATAT